TCTATCTATCTATCTATCTATCTGTCTATCTATCTATCTATGTATATATCTTTGTATCCATCTACCATCTCTCTATTATCTATCTATCATCTATCTATCATCTATCTATCTATTTATCTATCATCTAGCCATCATCTAGTTATCATCCTTCTATATATCTACCTATCTATCTCCATATATCTGTATATTTACCATATTTAAACTGTATCATCTATATCTATTTACTCTACTGGAATTTTGCAAATAAAGTGACAAGAAAATACTGCTGCAAAATAAGGGATTCATGTCTATGGGATTCATCTTTGTTGGACATTTCAAAGGAACACAAAACTAAGCATATCTACAAACTAAGCTACAAACAAGTAATTTTTCTCCTGCTATTCATTTAAGATAAATAATTTAGATACTAATTTCACTAAACATTGGTGTTTTAATGAATTGAATATCTATTGATATAACAACTTTATTTAAAATGGGCAACAAATAATTGTAAAAACTGATGTTTCTTATAACTGTATGAACACTGGATTCACCCGGGAAATTTTAGAATATGATAGCATGAAGGTTTTAAACCTAAAGATTATGATTTAATTCCTCATGGGGATGACCTGATTTTCAAAATTAAAAAAAATAACTTCAGATGATTCTGAATGACCAATATATGAAAATTTTTGATGTAGTTCATTTTTCTGCACAACTAGAAGTGTTTTAACTTCATGAGTTCATGAAACTACAAACTGAATCGTCAGCAATGGAAATAATTTTTCTCATAAAACAAATCCAGATACAATATCAAGTGGAATTTTGTGGCTATGGTATCAATTATCAATTATGATAGAGGAAGGAATATTGAAGTAAGAGTATATTTTCTTTTAAATTGAAACAAATTGACATTTTTCTAGTTGTCAAGACAACAATGATTGATGAAACTCTTGGAGACAGTTATTTTTAGCAGAAATGGTATTTACTGGAGAATGTCTTACTGTCTAATTCTCAGAATGATTAAAGTTCAGAGTGGAGACTTTGCAGAGCCACACTCACCTTGGCATAGATACAGCTGTCGTTGAGTCTCTGCAGAGAGCAATTCTTGTCACACAGAGGGCACATGAAGACTTCAGTGGCCTTACAAATTTCTTGGCTTGAGAAATCAAAGAAAAAAAAGGAACCCCCGCCTTAGTCCCTACAGCACCAATGTAGACAGGAACAGGGGAGAAACAGTGGGGAGCAATAAGGACAGGTTTAGATTTTGGCTTTGAATTGAGTATGTGCGGATACCTGTGATATATTTGTCTTCGCTTATTTAATTTTAGAAAATCCTGTCAAAACACTATAATAATAATAATAGATCATACCTTAACTTATATGTTACTTTATTCTAAGTGTCTCTACACTTTTTGATGATCTTCCATGGCATGCAGAATAATCAACTGAAGAGTTCACCAACCTCAGAGGAGTAGAATAGCCAGAGTTGGAATCAAACCTGAGCATTCTGCCTTCCCTGGGCAAAGGTTATAAAATGTATAACCCACACTGCAGTATGTAACTTGGTGTAGAACCTTCTCTAGGAAATGAAATACTAATTGGTGTGTGTGTGTGTGTGTGTGTGTGTGTGTGTGTGTGTGGTATTTTTGACACTATCATGATAATATAATAGTCTATATATCAATATAATAGATAATATAATATAATATAAATGTACTTTCAATTAGGATATAGCTTTGTGGCATCTATCCTTTCCATTTCATGCCCACGGCCTTAAATATTTCAACATATATTATAGATAGCTGGGTGATAGGAGTAAGGAGTCACTAACAACTTCTGGAAAGTCTTATTAGCTCAGGGCTCATAGCCACCTATTTTTTAGGATGTTTTGTGCCTTTATCTGCCACCCATGGCTACTCTCCATTTTGTATCTCCCTGGTAAGATTTCTTTAACTAACTCTGCTTTGCAAAAATTAAAAGGATTTTAAAGGCTTTAGAAAATATGCTTTGAAATACAAATGTTAATTTTAATTTAATAAGTAATGCAGGAAGATTTGTTGTTTTAAAAGTATATGTTCAAAGCATAAAAATACATGTGTATTTCAAGTGTGAGATGTTTATCACTTCCATACAAAGTGAAGAGTAAACAGTAAGCAATGATACAATATCACAATGACACACGGTGATTCACAGGGAGGATGATGGACTCACACGCTTAACAGCCTTGTCTTCAATCTTAGGTAATGGGAATTCTCTGTTTGGCACAGGAAACATGCACATGCTCAACTTAAGCTCAAGGTCAAAGAGCTAGAAAGAGGTACTTCTGGGACATAAACTTGGGTTTTGCTGATTGTAGATCTAGTTTTCCATTGACTGTGACATATTTTAAACTAGCACAAGCTCATTTATGAAGAATATGTGTATCTATAAGGATTAATAATTAATGATCAATGATGATGGAATGCATATTATGCAGCACAACACTTTCATTTTCCTAAGAACTAAGATATATGAAGTAGGTGGAAATGGTAAAACCCTCGTGTTTAAAGCCTTAAAGAAACAGAACACTTAGCTCTTAGCAATCTACTGATTTTTAGGGAATAGGAAGAATTTTCATACATCCCATTTTATAAAATGGGCTAAAAATAACCCATTTGCATTCCACAGATGTCCCACAATTTATTATTCATTGGAATCTCATACAAAGTATAGGTTATAGGCTTGGTTTGCTTATAGCACAGCATCCTTTCAACCTAGTAAATGCCCAAGCAGAAGCCTTTGTTGTCATATCACCTTGTCTTGACTCCAAGTCATTAAGAGAATCTTAGCTTATTGTCATCATTCAATTCACTGTCAGTTGCTCAAAGCTTGTTCTGATACATAGTTTAGAAATAGTAAATGCTTCTTTGTTTTTCTTATTTTCTTCTTCTTATTTTATTGCTTCTCCAAGAATGCATGATACCTGTGCAAGGCCAAGCCAGATAAACTCCAACATGGATGAAGGAAGTGGGTAAGAAGTCTCAGTCCCAGCTGAGGATCTACTGACAACTGATACCTGATGGGAGGGAGAGTCAATTTTCTTTAGGGCTGTGACACCTGGTAGGTTGGTCTGTCTCCCAGAGATAGATTCATACCCAAGAGAATTTGAGGAACACAGATTACACCTAACAGACCTTTTAAAAAGAAAACAGAGTACATGAAGTGTGGTGATAGGGTAAAAGTGGATATGAAGGAGGGGGCTTGAACACGTTCAAAGTATTTTTAATGCATAAGACAAGGCTTATTTAGCCCAGGCTGGTCTTAACCTCCTACATAACCTGAGGCTGGCCTCAGACTCCTAATCCTGCTTCCCTTACTTCCTAAGAGCTAGGATTATAGATGTGTGCCACATGCCTTAAAGAACAATTATTTATTTATTTATTTATTTATTATTTTATTTCTCTTTCTTCTTTCATGCTTTCATTCTTTATTTATTGTGTGTATGTGGGTGTGTGTGTCTGTGTGTGTGTCTGTGTGTGTGTGTGTGTGTGTGTGCATGTGTGTAGATGTGTACCTGCCAAAAGGTACACATGCAGTTCAGAGGAAAATTTGAAGGACTTGGTTCTCTCTTTCCACCATGTGGGTCCTAGGAACCAAAATCAGGTTTTCAAGTTTGGCTGTAAGTGCTTTTACACACTGAGCCATCTTACAGGTTCTGAAAAATTTATTTTGATAATGTTTTCCCATGAAATAAGGGAATTGAGTATCACAAGTTTCTTTTACTTTATTTAGCCACTAGAGGGAGAGAGTGATTCTGACATGAAATTTGTTAATTCCTTTTGCAGAATTTGGCAATCTAAGCTACGACTGTCCTTGCAGCTTTCTTCAGGTTTATATCTATGCTAATGCCTATTAAGGGCTTATTTCAGAAATAACCATTGCTATCAATTAAAGAAGGCGCTTATGTGCACTGAGCACAGACGTTTGGATCTACTCCTCTAGTGGACCAATTTATCTGCTCCTTATCCCCCTGTGGCCTCATTGAGTAAATCTCCTATCTTTCCTTTGCACTATTACCTCTGTCGTTAATTGGTGTATTGGTTATGATTGGTTATAATATGATTGGTTATAATCTTGCCCTGCTTGGGATGCCAGTGTCCAGGCTTTAACCGTAACAATTGCTGTGATGCTCCCATGTTCATTACTTCACTGAAATATTTTTTTAAATTGCCAAAAAATATTGAAACAAAGTATCTATGCCATCATTAATATATAAGGAAAAATTGTATGTGTGTTGAATGCAATAATACTTGGCCTTAAAGAAGGAATTCTTCTGACTAAGACAGCATGGATGGTCTAGAATACATTTTGCATAGTGAAATAATCCAGTCACAGAAAGGAACATGCCCTCCTATTTCATGATATGATGTATCTAACACAGTCCATACTATCCAACAAAAGAGAGAACATATTTGTAGTTGTCAGAAGCAGTGGAAAGGGAGTGGTGAACAGGGAGTTGGTGTTCAAGGGTACAGTTTCCCTTACACACAGTAAATAAGTGAGTTGTAGAGATCTTTATGGCCCTATGCTTATAATGCCTTTGGCACTTAAAATATGTTAAGAGGATAGGTCTAGTTTTAAATATTTGCACCACAATACTTTTTACAAAATGAATTAGATAGAGGCTTGAAATTTAGCTAATTTCTTAGCAGATAGAGTCTGAACAAGTCACTTACTTCTTTAAAGATGAATTTATCTGCCTCCACATAAAGTTATGGAATGCTAGTTAAGTGATACTGGTAATTTACCCAGCATGCAACTGGCACTGATGAATGGATGAAGCTTTCATTGCTAAGAATAGCAAGAAATATTCGGGAGGCTCGTTAAGCAATATTTGTGAAGCTGGTCAATACTGAGGTGGGTACACTTTTTGTGTGGGATCTGTTGCCAAAGAGGCAAGAAGGAGCTAGAAAATTGTGACTTCAGCTCTTTGAACTCATCCTGAAACTCAGAACCCTGAGAAACAGGCCACATATACTTGCTTATTCCGTCTTAATTGCGACATATCCTCTCCAAAACACAGGTATGAGCACTTCGGGTTACATAGGGCTATTGCACTCACATGAACACACATTATCTAAATCTTTAATGTTGTTTCTTCCCATAATTAACTGCAGGACAATTAGCAAGTATAATTGCAGCTGGGTTGGCCATATCCTGTAGAACCATAGTAAATAAATTCATATCTCCAGTATTTTAACATTTCACTACTTTGTAACAAACAAAAAAGAGCTTAATAAAATACAAATTTTCAGAATCAACACAAAAAACCTACTCTCTTCCCTGTCTTCCCACCAAGATAACACCTAGGACTCAACCTCATCCTGGTCTGGCACCTTGAATGGAAAATTTCAGTGCAAATTCTGAAACTCAAGATATTCAGTGCTGATTACTTTGGTTTAGAATAGAAAGTCTGACAGAATCTTAATTATAGTGTGACAGCAGTAGCAGTAATATAGTACCAGCAAGCATACAAGAAAATAGGTTGCTAATACTTCTAAAACATTTCTTACAGCAAGGGTGAAAGAATATGTATTTCAAACAAAAAGAGGCTAAATCCCTCCACTAGTACATAATCAGTGGGAACAGTAAATCTATTACATTTCGTTTATTTTAAACTTTATTGGGATGTGGAGGAACATCTGTATCTCATGATAAAAAAGTATCAAAATGACATTTCAACAGTGCTTCTGTCCTACTTTAAAAAGTTAAAAAGGGTAAACAATTAAATTGCACTATAGTTATTTACTACCATTGTTCGTAGGCATTTGCCCACTCAGAATGTGGGTCAAATATTTCTTATAAGTCTTTTCATAGCTTACCTTACTTGACTTTCATTCATTGTAATTAATCCATAGAAGAAAACACACAAGCCAACAACTGCTGCAGGAATCAGCATTCCAGTGTACCATCCCAGCCAAGCAAAGTACAATCCAATCTTCTCACCAAAGTACAGCCTGCATGAGAAAGCAAACCTTCAGAATGCACTGGTGTTAGATGCTTGGCTTGACCAACACTAGCTACTTGCCAGCAATACTAGGGTATCTTATAATCGTGGTTGTTAATGAATTCATAAAGGTGAAGATGTTTACTAATAAATATTCTCATTATAGGGACATTATGGGGCAATTTATGAACTGTATCTATTTCTGTTCCAAATTTCTTAATAACAGGTTTTATGACTCAGTCCCTGCATTTCTCCAACCTAGTAGCATCCTTTTCGTCTCTATATAAAGAGCTATGCTAAACCTTGTCGCTTTTTTGAGGATTAGAAATAAAAGGCCTATCTCCTCTCTAGGTAAATTCCAAGCTCAGAGTAGCTGGCACCCCTGCCACACACCTGAGCTACACAATCTGCACGATTACATCTCATTTTCCTCAGCCAAGCTCTAGTCTGCAGTGTCTGAATCACACAACTCTTCCCTTGATTAACACTGGTCTCTAACTTTGGAATCCTTAAAAGTAAAAAAATTACCATCTCCCACTAACTGATATTTGTCCTTCACGTCATAAAGCTTCTTCTTCCGGGTACCTTCCCTGACTCCCTCTTCCATTCTTCTTGGGTATCTTGCTCATCCATGCCCTAAAGTTCCCTCTTTTATGATACCTTATAACAACTCTCCTTCACTCCTCAACTCCTCTTCATTTCCATAACATTTTAAGCTGCTTGAGGTAGACCTGCATATTGCATCACTAGCAGCCACTACTGGAAAATTATCAGAAACTAAGAATAAATATACTTTATCATCCTTCAGCTGGTGAACATGGTTTCTGTGGAGTGGCAGATGAATGAGGCAGTTTCTAAGATCTATTTCCTTCTTCCTTTATACTCCACTGTCAGTTTCTACAGTCATATAATTTATGAAGCTCTAGTAAAAATACTTTTAAATTCCCTGATCTTCCTACTACTGCTCAGTCTCCATCATATAAAATGGGTTAGTTAACAAAATCTATTTTTCCCTTGTTAAGTTTCTAAAGATTGATGCTTCACAAGTCATGTGGGAATAATGCATTGAGTAGTGATTATTGCTGAAAAGAACATTCGTTTGTCAGTTTTCATGAACAGTTCTTTCTGAAAATCTGAAAATCATTCCCTTTATTATTTATTTTCTGTATCATGACAATTAATACACATGTTTCATCAGGTGAAGATATGAAGTCATCCTCTATTACATATCACTTGTCTGTGTTTTCCTTCTATTTCTTTCTCCTAGACACTTGTCTATTCATTTCTTATACAATGATAAGTTCCTACTTGAAACACAAGCTTATTATAGTACCTTAAATCCCTCAGTGGGATGAAACAGGGCTTTTAGAACATTTTGCAAACAATGGGTTATCTTTGCAATAATGTCAACATGGACTACAGGGACTCATTATAAACAGTATTATATTAATGTGTTAAGCATGCTTTCTTGAAGGTTAAGATAAGCAGTATTATTAGGACAGGGTTTAATTACCTAAGACAAAGCCGATCTCATTCTGTTTCAGGAGAGAGAAAAGCTAGCTACAAAGAAAGACTGCAAAAAATGACCTTCTCCTGAGACACTTTTGTGCAAAATTTTCTATAATACCTAATTCTTCCTTAGAGCTAGATCTAACAAACTGGAGCAGAGCAAGAGAAAAAGAACTGGTAACTATGGCTGCAATCCCCCCCTGCAGTCGCAGCAATTCTCTTTGTGTTGGTTTTATTTGAAGTGCCCTGTGTGGCATTTCATTTGATGATTTGTTCTGCTGCTGAAGTAACTTCTGTCATAAAGTAAACATTCAAATCTACTGCTTTAAAAATAATCATATAATTAGACACATTTTAAAAAATTAAATTCACTTAATGCCCCTTGTTAAAATTGTTTCAAATGCCACACCACCGTTTCTGTATGTGGGTTTTACGGCTGAATAGCTTTGAAAGCTGCTCCTTTTGATTTCAACTTTTTCTTTGAAAAATTTGAGTAAAACTAATTATGTCTTAGCTATTAAATGTTTGAATTCAAATTTAAAATGGGAAAACAAGACAAACATATCTCCAGAAACGATGTTTATTTTATGTTTACTTAAAAAAAAACCCATGAATTCCCAGGTCTGTAGCTTTCAAGCCCTATTAAGGAATTTCCTTACTGAGCGTGTGAATGCACGTTTTGTCTGTGGGGATCCCACCAGTCATGATCTAGCTGTATCAGAAGAACTCAACTGTTGTACATCCTTCTCTCACTATAGAAAGGAAGGTAAGCAAAGACCCATCTCTGCAAAACTGTCTGGTCTGAAGTGCAACTTAATTACAGATGATGAAAAGGCCTGAAAACTCATGCCTTGCACAAAATTTTATGCATAAGGTTATACAGTTTAATCTTTAGGTTTCAATATTTCAATTTTTATTACAAGTTCCTGGACTGTTATAGCTATTGAAATATAAGTTAAATTCTTTTATTACACAACCTTCTTGGTAGGCCCATCATGACACAGCACTGCTTAGTCACTTAATGGCAACTTTGTAATAAAAACATAGCCTTCTCTGTGAACAAGGAATAGTAGCTGGATAACCCTGTCAGTAATAGATACCAATATTTGTTAAAAAATATAGTTATTTTACTGAATTCTCTTCAAAGTATCCCTTCAGTGCTCTGTTTACTGCTTGTTTAAATTGCCTGAAGCAGCAACGGCAATGTTGCCTATAGATTTAAAACAGCTATTGACACTGAAATGCTATTTGAAAATCAGTCTTTCTGTGAGCACATCTTGCTCACTGTAGTCTATGCATATATATCCAAAACAATACACTTACCTTCATAAATTAGAATCAGGGAATTTGTTAAGACTGACAGATAAGAATCAAAATATCTTGATTCTAGATATACTCAAGAACATTTGGAATTGAAATGATTTAGTCTTTGAATATATCTTTTGTACCTCCAAGTGCACACGCCACCAGTTTTCTTTCTCCCATGTGCACACAAGTGTCACCTCTGTGGATTAGCTAGCAACTCCATTATTTCTATGCTCTTTCAGAGAATCTCGCTGGTATTGAGATACCAGCTAAGCTGGCTTCCTTTCTCTTGGGCCATGATTTTCCGCCACTGACTTCTTCCTCAGGTCACAGTTACAGGCACTTCCTTTCATGGCTAGTCATCTGTAAGCTCTGGAAATTTGTTCCACTTCTTGGCCTTTTAGAGTAAGATTCAGAAACTGCTTTCCCTGAGCATGTCACTATTTGTTGACTTCCATGACACTAGTAAACACTTCTGAATATAATTTCTTTTTTTACTGAATTCCCTTCATGTATGCATTCGGTGTTTTGTTTCCTGCTAAACCACTGACTGTATAGTTACAAGCAATTCCTCATATTTATAGTCTATAGGCAAATGAAAATAATGCATAGAGTTTAATAATATGAATGTTTCTTTTTAGTCTATAAATATTTATAATTAGGTAGAGAATTAAGATATATACTTCACACTTTTAATAATAAATGCAGTTGAGAGCAATTCTCCAATAGAATGTATTTCCTGGAATAGAGTGGAGAAAGCAACTTTTTGGAAGATAAAAGCAGCAAATCCTCTGCATCATTATATTATATACTCACAAATTCAACTGTCTCCAGGTCAAAAATGCAATGAAGGCTGTATAGTTCTGTCTGTATGAAATATGCTTAAACTGTATACTATTTTTCTTATCATTATTTCATAAATAATACAGTATATCAACTATTTATATGACATTCACACTGTATTAAGTGTTACGTAATTTCTAGAGATGATTTTTAAATCTATATTGAAGTGATGCATAGGCTCTATGGAAACAGTACAACACTGTACATAAGGAATTTAGGCATCACAGACAGTATTAATTGTAGTATTTGAAAGGGGATTCTGTGACAATCCTCTGTGAATACTGAGTGATGACTTCACAGGCACAGATGCTGTGTTGGCTATTTTCCTCTATGCGCTCATCCTATTTTTGGCATGTTTTGGTTTCTTCACAGAGCAATTGATTGTTCAGGTTATATTGTCAATGCTTATGGTGAATTTAGGCAAGGGGATACTGGAAGACTTGAAGGTAGGAAGAAGAGATAGCCCAATCATTTTACTCCTCTTGGTGTTCCCCAGGGCCTTGAACCTGGGCTACGACATTATGTATTTGATGCCATATCCCCTTTGTGTTCAGGGGTTTCAGTCACGTTCCACAGTTACTAATCTCTGGTTGACTTCAAAGGCATTTTCATTGCTCTCTCATTCTCTGTACAACAACTTCCCTGCATTAAGCTCCTTCTGCTGAGAAATCATGCAGTGATTTCTTTCTTCCAAATTTTTTTTCCTAACTGAAAAAATGTTGGTCAGAAATAATTTCAGGTCTTAGAAAATAACAATATTTATTACCATTCCATCCAAAGTACCTGATTAAATCCAGAGGCTGATGCTTATACCACATTCCCCAGCGTGCCCAACGCTCATATAAAAGATGTCTGTTGTTCTGAGGTCCATGGGTTTGGATGGGCAGGCTACTCTTGTAGGCTCCCTGAGAGAGATACAATAACATGGAATAGAAACTGCTCTTTAACTGCTTTGAACTGAATAAGAACTAGTTAATCTCTAACAAGATAATTTAGACAGTTACTGAAAATATCTGAGATTGTAAACTAAACTTATCATTGGAACAATGTAGTAGATGCCTTTTTCCCTGGAAATATTATGAAAGTTCCATGAAAATCATTCCTTAAATTATCTTTCAAACAATTTAAGCAGATTTTATTAAAGTAAACTAGACTTTAGTTTTCACTGTTTGGAACTCAAGTTTTGTTAAATAAAAAATTCAATATCAATAACAGAAATTGTTATAATCTTGAACTGAAAAACTGAGAGTATCCTTTGGCTTCAAGAAGTGATCTAATCTTGAAAAGTTTTATTTATAGATCATATGGAAGTAAATGTTCATTTTAAAAGTATGAGACCTTAATATCTAACCCACTCATGCTTTAGAGCTCAGTGTCCTGAAAACTTACTTTAGACATTGTAATATTTAAGCATTTGAAACACTATATCTTCCGTATTTTTAATATGGGTTTCATATGGTTGAGTTCCCCAACAACCATGTCTCAAAGTTCTGATGAAGTTTTCTTGACATTTTGAACTCTGGTTTTCAGGTGCCTCAAAGTCTCAGGGAGATAAACGTGGATACCATCTCCGGCTCTTTAATATAGAAAAAAGGAGGGGCGGATAGGGAAGGGCAAGCACATTTGTGCAGTCCCAGAGCCCCCTCTCTAATGTAGCCTAAGCATTTAAAGTCTAATCATTAGAAACCAAGGAAAGGAAAGCAAAGATCTAGATTTTTAAAAAATTTTTTATGTGTATGAGTGTTATGCCTGCAGGTAGGTAAGTGCACATATGTTATGCAATGCCCACAGAGGACAGAAGAGGCTGTCAGATCACCTGGAACTGGAGTTACGGACAGTTGCTAGCTGCCATGTGGGTGCTGGGATTCGAACCTGGGTCTTCTGCCAGAAAAGTAGGTTTTCCTAACCACTTAGCCATCTCCCCAGCCCAAGACCTAGATTTTTTTTTAAAGCACAGAACATTCAATGGAGAAAGGTAAGCTTGCTTGTGAAACTAGACTGGCTATCTGCCATGGGATTGCATGTGGGTAGGAGTATCAAAGTTACAGCTTTCTTCAGTCACTGAAGAAGGAAGTCATACATTTTAAAGTAGCTATCAAACTATATTAGAGAATACTATTGACTAAGTTTTCCTCTTAGATAATTTGCTGTTCTTCCCTGAGCTAATAGAAATTAAATTCAATAGGAAATTCCTGCGCTCCTGAACTGTCTGGCTACTATGTTTCACCAATATTGCAGCAGTACTGTTTTCTAGTCTCTGTTTACTTGTGCCATATGTTAACATTTCAAATAATCACAAATGAGAAAGGCTATCATTAGCAATGCAGTCATGGCAGATACTGAATTTTGCCAAATGAACTATCAGTGCACAGGCTAATTATAGAGAGAAAATTACTATACCTAAGAGAATAAACCAAAACTTCCTTTACTAAAATGACTCTTAGATGTACTGCTCTGATTACTTCAATATGATATTTGACATCGTACTTGATTTATCTCAGCTATGTTTCTTTATATCTAAAGTGAGAATAATATTAAGCTCCTCTGTGTTGTCAGAATCATGGGCAAACAGGCATGTTGGCTGAGCATATGAAACCCAAGAGTACACTGCTCATGATTATTATTCTTTTCCTAATTCTACTGAAAATGGACACTTCAAAAAGATTATATGCTTTTGAAGATGACTTTCTGTGCTCAAAACTGTGCATTTGACACTTAATCTTTCTGTAATTTCATTACATATGTTTAAATAATTATTTTATTGCTGTTAGCCACACAGGGTTGTTCCAAGGATGAAATGAGAGATAGTCCATTTCCACAATTTTCATTATTAAAGTCTTTAATATTTTAGATTAAACTAATTATTAAATACTTCACTCTTTAAAATAAGACATTTAACCCTGTGACACAGTATAAATACTATTAAATACATTTTATCAATTATTAGTCATATAGGACTGCAAATTTATCACATCTGATCCTTTTAACTTGCTGTCTTAATTAATAAATCAGAGTAATTATTTTTGAAAGTCCAGAAGTGAAACTTCCAGTTTATTTTAAATATGAAGCAAGATGTTAAAAAGAAGTCAAGAGTAGAGTGAGAGGTAAAAATGAGCAAGACAGAGTCAAGTGTTGTTTCAGTTAGACAGGGCCCTACACAGTTTAGAGTAGAAATTCCTTTTAAAATTGGTAGTGAGGTAATAATCTGGCAGGGAATGGAGTAAGTAATAGATTGGGATTTTTTTTGTATGCTTATTTCAAATTTTCTGGTATTCTGAAGTAGTAGATACAGCAAGGGACATGCTGCTTGTAGTGGTTTGCATTTCATTCAGGTTCAAGCATAAGACATTTTGCTGGAGCAGAGCTCTACAGCTAGGATGTTTAAGCCCCACCCATGACTGCTGCTGGGGAGCTGGGGTGCCTTTCATGGGGCAAATTACTAAAGTGTTTTGGAGTTGAAGAATCATTGTGCAACAGGGAGATAATAACTGGTCTCAGGTACAGGAGCACTTGTCCTGGGTGTGGGCACCCAGCTCAAGAGAATAAGATGGGTCGGGCAATGAGCATGAAAACATTTTACTTTTTCAAACAGAAATATCTTTCAAAATTACCTCATGTGGGGGAAATGCTGCTATATAGGAGCCATTATTTATAAGCTTACGGATACCTAGAAAGAGAAAAAAAATGTGTGAGTCAAATCAATGAAGAATTTCCTCTAAAGAATATACATATTCATGGAACAAGGACTTCTCAAAAAATTTAAAGTCATTCAAATGACATCTACAGCCACATTACCTATAAGGACAGAACTTTTGAGAAAGAGACTAATATTCAGCTAGGTTGTATCCACACAACATTGGGAAATGGAGATTCATAAGATATCAACACAGACTTTCATTTTGCCATATCATATCATGATATGCAGGACATTTTTAATACTATTTGTGATCAAATAAACTAGGAACAACTTTTTTTTTTCTCCTTGGAAAACAAAAAAGATTAGACAAAGAAGAAAACTTCTCTGCTCCCAGAATCTGACTCAAAGGATTACTGTATTTAGAAGTGTGTTTTTATCATAAGTCAAAGGGACATAAATAGTATGCTGCACTCAAACTTGTCATCTCAGAGAGGGTACAGTATAATACAGTGGTCAGCATAAGCCCTGAGAAAATCCCTTCTGGAGACGAACCTTTGTTGCAATATTATTTATTAATATGGATGAAAGAATTAGAAATATTTACACATTTGAAACAAGGACACCTTTATCATGATACAAAGACAATTATATTAGGGGGTTAGTAAGTAGTTTAATGACTGCTTATCAGAGAATGTTATGTAGCTATTTGCAATACTATTTTCATATGGTACATATGGGCTATGAAAACAGTGAATTTTTCAAAAGAACAACACATATACATATATATTTATATAATACATATCTGTGTCTTTTAAGTAATGTATTTTACCATTTTAAGTATAAATTTGTAACTGAAAAATTGAATAATCTTATTTTACTTTTAACACTTGTATTTATTATATATGTTGCACAGAGTATAATACCTTTATAACCATTTAAAATGTCACTGTGTTTTAAAGTCTACATAAGCAAAAGTTCTATGATGTAGGTATATTTTCAGCTCATATTCTGGATTTATTTATTTATTTATATATTGTTTCTTTAGAAAATTCCTGATTGAAGTCATTGTTTCAGTCTAAGGTAACATTTTGATTGCTTAGTGATAAATTAAAGTATTAGTCAGAAGTAAAACAGACTCTGAAGTTTCCTCTGTTTAAAGTGGCCAACACGAAACATAGTTCATTTTACTTGTATTGTGCTCCATCATAGCACAAGTCAGGAGGGAGAGAAAAAAGTGTCCAATGGTGGTCATGTTTTAATTTCAAAGACTTTAGAACAATTGGCTAATGCCTGGTTTCTTCAATGTTGCATATTTCAGGTTGACAATTGAAAAGCTTATTTGTGACCTGTTGTTTCAGTTTTTTATGTAAGCTTTATTGATTTTTCTCAGGGGAATCCTTGGAAATTTTTGTTATTATACATAGAGTAAACTGCCAAACCTGCAAACAACACATACATTTAGTAAATTAAAATAAACGACTATTTAATATTACAGAACAATCTCTGTTAGAGTTCTTACACATTGGTCTGCACTTTTCTCACTTTTGAGGTATGTATATTAAAGAAATGAAATTATATTAGACATTTCATAATCTTTTTTTCTTTACTGATGGTCATGAATATCTTTCAAAGTCCAATATGGGAGAGTGATTACTTTTTAACTTCTGAGTAGAAAATCTCTTTTGTAAGCCATGTAACATAAACATACATAATGCAACATACATATGTATATACATATATATACATATATGTAAGATTTTGCAGATAATGTGCCCTTAATTTATGTTAAAGAAGAGTGAATAGATATAATACACTTTAATAGATATGCATCTCTAAACTTGTGTCTATATACTTACTTTTGCTCAGTGTGGACATTTTTGGTATTTCTGAATGTATTCTATTTTTAAGCCATACTAAACCACTTTCTGTGCAGATTTTCATTAAAAATATAATTGTTTTGTCTGCTTGAGTTTGCATAGGTCATGAGCATGCTGACACCATTGATGTAGATTCATATGAGCAAGGTCCCTGGGAGCTTGTAAAACTCTATTCTCATATGGTCATGGACCTCCTCTCTGGCTCTTACAGTCTTCTGGCCCCTCTTCCAAAATGGTCCCTGAGCCCTGGGTGGGTAGAGATTAATATAGTCCTGTCCAAGCCCTAATCTTAGTCAAAGAATTATTGGCAGGTGATTACTTCTGGGTGAGGAAGAGCACATCATTTTAAAGGGAGCGACTTTAGCTAGGCTTGATCTCCAGTGGATGAACTTGCACTGATGGATGTCTGGGGACACTAACTTGACATGATAGGCTTTAACACAATTGACAGAATGTATGAACTCCAGTGGGGTGGGGGGGCTATGGGAGGATGTCAGTCAGGAAAGGGGTATAAAGATTATTAAGATTGATTAAGAACTTATGTATGAAAAGCACAAAATTTCAATAAAAGGAAAAATATGTAACTGTTATATAAATTTCAAGAAATAAAATATGTCTTATAAAGTTGTACATTTTATATTTTGAAACATTTAACCAAAGGGCATCATTTTTTTTATGAAAGATAGTATAAAATATTTCTAGACTTTGTGTTTGATGTGTTAAGCATTCATATTTAATGAATGAAAGCACAATTTTAGTTGTTATACAGCAATATCTGTGCAGATAACTTTGATCTACTTTATCCCCATTTATAAATAATGTTCTTACCCACTTTTGACATCCCATTTTCATATTTTGTTCGCTCCAGCATGTGATAAACTATCCTGCTTCTGGTAGCATTGCTGAAAAACGTGTCCTTATTGTTTATCATGAAGCTGTTAAGAATAAGGTATTGGTTTTAATCTTCAAAGCCAAACAGAAAATATAGTCAGATTTATAAATTTGTGGAGAATCATCCATCTGTACCTACCATTAAAGCTAATGCATGTGAAGAGAGGAGGTTCTCCCCTCTGAAAGAAAATCAATAAAGCCAGAATTCACAGAGAAAATGAAGAGAATGATCAAAACTTCATGTTAGTATATTAAGTTTATGAGAAGGTCTTGTCTCAATGTCTTCAAAGGGTTTGCTGACATGGACTAAGGAGAAATGTATTATTTACTGGCAGAGGCAAATTTTGTACTACCTCAAGCAATGTAACTCCAAATGAACTGCATTAAAAACTGATGTCATCCCCCATGCCACCCTTTCTAATCCAGCTTATTTTGTTTGCAGAACCTAGTGATGAATGATAGTTCTCCTTTTCCCTTGATATGCTATATTGTCCTCTTGTGGGAGCAGCAGCAAAAAGAAATCCCATGAGATAAATGAACTGAAATGCTAAAGTGTGATTCAAGCTGAGAGAATGAATCAGTTTCAGTGTTTACCATGCATCATACTGGGAGACTCAAAACTGTGGAGTGAGCTGGATCTCACTGGATTTGAGACACGTCCTGCCTTTTAGCTCTGTGAACAATGAGCCATCATTTTGCCAGGCATCTCATTTCTGAGTATGAGCTCTTCTCTGATCCTTGCTTCCTCTTCACCCTCCTCCATACCCCGCAAGCATTTACAAGCTAATCAGCTTGCCTACTGAACCACCTCTCTCCCCTCAGTGTCAACGCTCATTTCCTGAATTGTCAGAAGATTGCCTCACTAACTTACCACTCAGCTCACCACGGACTTCTGAAACTGTTCAGATCTTTAGAGTATCTCCTACCTTCATTATGGCGTCACCTCTCTATTAGAAGCAGAATTAGACTTACTTTCCTTCGAGTCTACAAACTACCCCAGTCTTGTTTCTAAAGCTCTGATTTCCTGTATCTGATTATCTGTGAAATTGCAGATCTATCATCACCTTAAATACTCCTAACCCCAATTTCTTTACATCTGTGTTTTGTTCCCTCTTTAATGACTTCCTTCTTTCTCCAGATCATCTATAAATTGAAATTCCTAAGAAGGCTTTGCTCTTTTATAAAAGTCTTCCCAGATTCTCTCTTTTCATTTCTTCTGTGAAACTTGTGTTTTTCTCAGTCTACTTGCTTGCTATTCAGTCTTATGGTTTTTTTTTTAGTCAGTCCATCTCTCCATTTTATTAGACTGTGAATTCCTCAGTATCTCAGATTAAATGTGTTTTTTATATTCAAATATATTCAATTCAGAGCCCTGGTAATTATAAGCAGCAGAAAGAATGTTCATCAATCGGATGTTTTAGATTTTTTTCACCTTGAAATTGTGTCAGCATACGTGATCAACTAGTTCTAATGCAGATAAATTCATTTTTAGTATGAGGTTATGTTATGAAGGAATGAAACAGATGATCTAATCAAATAAATTTAAAAAGTAAATAAACTAATAAATAAGAAAATTCTAAATTGTTTCTCTGAAGAAAAATGAGATCATATAATAAGTAGCACAGGGAGGACAGGGGTAACGGACAATGAGCAGAATTTTCAGACAAATTTTTTCTTGAAGTGTGCTGCTTTAACGAGGGAATAAAGATAAGAAAGAAAATATCCTGCAAAAACCTGTGGGCCGAATGAATCAGCCAAAGAAACAGGAGCAAGGCTCAGCCAGAACTACACTTGAGCACCTGACTCACAGACTGTGGCTCAGACAGGAGGAAGTAGTGGTGGGAAAATATTAGAAGATGGAATGAGAGCGTTGCCTGGGAACAATAGCATGACTGCCTCACAGGAAATCATCACAAACTGACTTTTGTGGTGCTAAGTACAAATTGGAGACACTTTGGAAGGTCTAACCTAAGTCAGAGGTTTTGATGACCTGATTGATGTTTTTCAAAGATTAAGCTGATTATTTGTGTTTTCGAAGAGGGACTTTTTGTTGTTGTTGTTTGGTCTGGTTTGGTTTGGTTTGATTTGGTGCAGTACAGACCTTTTAAGGTCCTATGGAAGCACCCCTGAGCTATGACCTACCTATAGGCACTGAAGTCCTTTGGGTTCTGCTTCCCCTCGTCTCTCCAGAGCTGTGATTAGAAAGGAAGCTTCTAGATATATTTCCAAGATTAACTTATAGAATAAATAGGATATTTTGAAGAGGAATAATTCATGTTAATTTCTGGCTGTACAGATTTGTTGGTCTGGAATTCCACTAATTTCCAGTATGGCAGAATAGAAGTTAATCCACAATGGTGTAGGTGTGCTCTACAGCCTTGTCCCTGTATTACACTGCATATTTCTATATCGTATGTTTGTCCTAGTTTATTTAATTTGACAATTGCATTCTTGTCTATAACATTTAAATAGGAGTGCTTTGAAGGCTGAAGGAAGACAATGTGCCATAATTCCCCTTATAATTCAACTGGTGGAATGCAGAATCTGACAAACATTCTTTAATGAAAGCAGGTAGGTAGGAAGAGAGAGAAAGGAAGAGGAGAGAATGAGAGATAAGAGAGTGAGTCATGTAACAGCCCCTGGGAAATTCTCATTCTCTGTAGTTTAATAAGACTAAAACGAATGCATGCAATTATATAACATAGTATTTCAATG